GCCTCGACCTGCTGGGCTCCGGCGATTCTTCCGCTTCAGTCTTCCAAATAACCGGAATTACAGGCATGTGCTACCACCCCCGGGCTGATTTTTTGATTTATTGTAGAGATGAGGTCTTGCTGCCCAGGCAGGTCTCGAACCCGCGGGCTCAGGCAATCCACTCACCTCGGCCTCCCAAAGGCGCGGGATTACAGGCTGAGCCATAGAGCCCGGCTGAAATATTTTAAATGACCTTTATACATTGCTTACATCTTATTTTGATATGATGTTAACACTGAGAAGAAGGATGCTTACCCTTACTGCTTGCTGGGTTTTCTCAGACAGTTTTACTTCATTATCTTCCACCTGTGCCCAAAAGGAATGCAGCTTTTCAGTTGACTACCTCAAGGGTAAAACACAGCTAGGTCTCCCTACCATGTTAAATATTCCCACACTAGACAGTCTCTCTGTCATGCCCAGGTCCAGTGCTCTTGGGCCCTGACATAGCTGGCAGAGTCAGCTGCTGGCCACCAGGACTCAGACCCCAAGGCCATGGTGGACTCTCTCACTGGACCTGAGGTCCAGCTAGTGAACTTATGACACATGGAGAAGTGTCAGTCTCCACTTACATTTCACCTCAGAGAAAAACAACTGTTTTTAGAGGCGGAGGAAAGAGAACACACTAAAAAATTTCAAAGGGTATGTTCTCATTTAAACATGCTCATGTTGGAGGATGTCTCTTGATCTTCCCTATCCAGGTCAGACTGTAGAAACAGAATAAAACAGATTCTAAAATAGGTACTTAGATCATTTTCAGACCTACTGCTGTCATATGTATTTCTTATGTTCCAAGGCACCAGTTTCAGAATATGTCCCCCTGAGAAAAATGGGACTTTTCTATATGTGTGCAGCAGCCACCCTGAGCAGACAAGGAAGCCACAGGGTCCACTTCTATCTGTGTGACCTTGGACAGGTTGTTCAGTTTCTAAGCCTCAATTTCTCACCTGTAAAATGAGGGTACTAATTTCTTCCTTTCATAAAATTTTTTTGAGTTAGGTTCTTACTCTATTGCCCAGGTTGGAGTGCAGTAGCACGCTCATGGCTCACTGCAGCCTCGATCTCCTGAGCTCAGGTGATTCTTTCACCTTATCCTTCCAAGTAGCTGGGCCTAGAGGTGCGTGCCACCAAGTCCAGCTCATTTTTTTTTCTTTTCTTTTTTTTAGATGAGGTCTCGCTTTGTTGCCTAGGTTGGTCTCGAACTTCCAGGCTCAAGGGATCCTTCCACCTCGGCCTCCCAAAGTGCTGAGATTATAGGTGTGAGCCACAATGCCTGGCCTCCCGATTTAATAGAGACCCAGATAACTTACATCCTTTCTTTTGAAACTCTTCCAAAATTATTAGAGTTAAACGAGCTAGATTAGTTTGTATAAAGAGAAAGGGCTGAGATAAAAACTTCCATTCTTGCAGAACATCTAGCTCAGGGTCAGACCTCCCACCAGGGGCCCAATGAAGAGCCTCTGCCTCAAATGTTCTCCCCAATTTCTTCCTGTTTAGGTCCACTTCTACTTGATACTAACCAGCCAGGAGCAGAATCTGGGTACAGCAGCCGTCAGGACTATGGAGCTGGTTTCTGTGGTAACAGTGCCATCTGTAGGAAAACCACAGACATGCCAGTTACTGCCCACGCCCCAGTTCACTTTTCAGGACCTTCGGGTAAATGCCCTTCCCCTCTCAGGAACAAGGGATCCTCTTATTAGTACACAGATTCTGATGCCCTCAGAAAATGAAAACTTCCTTAGCTGATAGAGAGACCAATCAGGGGATGGAGAAAAGTTTCCTTATGTGATTAACTTCAGTGTTTTTCAGAACAAATAGAAACATTTAAATGAAGAGTTCTGGAAATTAATCCTTCTGACCTACACCTTTCATTTTCATCAAATAGTACAGATACAACAGATATAAATATTAAAAATCAGAATGTTATCAGTCTCATTCTACCAGTCCTGAATATTATCATTCTCTAGAATGTTTTGCCAAAATAAAGAATGGGTAAAGAATGGTATCTGTTGTTTCAAATTGCTTCTCTTGGTTACTTGTGAGGCTGCATATCTTCATTTATATGTATTCCCCCTCTTTTTTGCTTTCTACATCTGTAAACTGCCTGTTTATATTTTTGCCTATTTTATCATTGAGTAGCTTATCTTTTTCTTATTAATTTGTAAGAGTTCTTATTAATTTGTAAATTAGGCTATATTTTATCATGTGTTCTAATATTTTCAGTTTATTGCTAGTCTTTTACTTTAGTTTATAATTTTTTTTATTTTTTTTTGAGTTGGAGTCTCTCTCTGTTGCCACGCTGGACTGGCACGCTCATGGCCACTGCAGCCTCAACCTGCTGGGCTCATGTGATCCTTCTGCCTCAGCCTTCTAATTAGCTGGAACTACAGGCATGTGCCACCATGCCCAGTTAATTTTTTGAGTTATTGTAGAGATGAGATCTCACTAATTTACCCAGGCTGGTCTCGCACCCATAGGCTCAGGCAATTCTTTCACCTTGGCCTCCCAAAGTGCTAGGATTATAGGTGTGAGCCACCGCGCCTGGCCCACTTTAAAATTTATTTTACCAAAAAGAAAAAAAGGTTTCAAGATTTGCTTTCCAAAGATCACATAAACTTACCCTTTTCTTTAACCAAGATCTGAGATGTCAAAAACGATTCTGAGAAAACCACAGATCCTAAGCACCCCTTTCCTCCCAGCAAGTCAGGAATGTCATAGACAGTCATACAAGCCTATATCAAATGAGAAAGCAGAGTTAGACAGTTGCCTGCCCAAAACCTTCAGGGAGAGATCCAAAAGAAAGAGATCACAAAATACCATGAAATACTGTTGTGGCACATGGCAAAAGAGAGTGGCATCGGAGAGTTTCTTAAAAAAAACTGGAGTTATCTTAAATACATGTCTGAATTGGGGATGACTTTAGGATTGTCCAGGCTTCCCTGCAATTGCTCCTTGATCCAAGACACGTTTGGGCTAGAAAGACAGTATCTTTTTGTTCCTACAAGTTCCCTCAAATTGCTTACCCTTTTTAAGAGGCAACATGCCAGTCTTCCTTCCTAACCTTGACTGATTCTAGCCTAGGAGAGTGGGAGGTGTCTCCTCTGGGCTCCCAAACACTCACACACCCCTAACATCCCCTCCTTGCTACACGTCACCAACTCCTTTGGTTTGGGCTTGAGCTCTGACAAGCCTGGAAAGGTGGTCACTTCTTTTGATAAGTATGTCTTCATGGATATTTTTAGATACATGTCAACATCTGCAAATGTTCCTTTAAGTACAAAGATTAAAAGAAAGGTATTCAAGCTTTTATGGCCAAGACAAATAAAAATAGAGACTTCAGTAACCTGGACACAAAATTAGAGCAACTCAAAGAAAGCTCCTGAGTCACTGGTAAGAATGACCTAATTTATCAGCTAAAAACTAGTGAAAACAAAACAATTTTAGGGAGAATTCAGCAGAAAAAACATAGAAAATGGTGCCATCCAACACTAGAGTCTGGGATGGGCAGGAAGATCTGGTGAAGGACATGGAATGAGTAGCACCAGGAGTCGTTTAGGGGCCCATTCCCTCCTCGCCTGAGCATCACTGAGTGGTGGCTGGTGGTACACAGCTCCTGAAGCTAAGTTCATTGTCATACACTGTTGTCCTAGTCTGGGACCCCATACACCCCTCAGGAAAGAGAAAAAGACCTGGGGCTCTTGAAGGAATTGATGAATTCTCAAATATAAAAATAAAGAGGGCAGAAAGGTTGAAAAGGAAAAACCACAGTTAAAGTTGAAGTCCTTGTACTTCCACACTGTTAGGATATACAAAGTAACAAGCAAACTTTTATATATGGTTAACTTTTTGATTAGGTTTGAAAGTTGGAAGATTTATCTAAAGCTGTCTCAAAGAATTTTGAGCATCTGAAGACATACCACCCTCCTGGGCTACAAGGTCCCTCTTAAGTGACAATGGGAATCCTACTTCTTTGGTTCCAGATCAATCATGTAGACAGATCCTGTGGGTTCCTGATCCTTCACTTTCATATTTGGCCATATTGAGGAAGGGGAGAGAGGACACTGAAAGGAACACACATAGCCTTTATTGGACACTTGCTACATAGTTCCCACCATGTGGCAAGGGGAGAGAATCATCTCTGTCTGGATGAGAGGACCGGATTTAGACAGAAAACATCAATTTCCTATTTCCCTAGCAATGCATACTTAACACAAGAGTATGATTCTACTAGACTCCTAGTCACCTACTATTGTACCAGAGTATCTTCCAAAGCACTGCACAAGAGTCCATGGAGAGAAGTCAGGGACTCAAAGTCTAATAAGATATAAAGTATTGTTGCCTACATATCAGAAAGCATTTCCCAATGTCTTAATGATGTGATGAAAAAGTCTAAATTAGTTCTAAAGAACACCAACACAAAGTGCTGACAGGAGCAGGAATATTATAAAAATATAAATTACTTACAACCTTAAAACAATTACCCTTCTTACACTATTATTTGTGGCAGGAACTTTGAGTTGCTTTTCTAAAGATGAGGAGGAGGAGGTTGCATTTGTACCCAGTCATCCATAGCTGCCCACCCAGATCCCTATGACCAGAGCTCGATGAAACTAAGGCTCAGACAGTGGTCACAAAACAGACTGAAGCTGTAACTTATGCCTATACGCTATACCCTCAGTCTTGGCTGGATATCCACCATCCCCTCACGCGCTGTCGGTCAACCCTCTTCACTCAGAGAGTTAAGTGGAAGACTCAGCCTGTGGCTGAAAGCAACTGGCCGACAAATTCTGGTGCTCTCAGGCCATGCCATGCCATCCCACACCCCAGGAACCAGTATTTTGGTGTATCTCCAAGCAATTCCCCTGGTCTATTAGTGTGGCCCCAGCACATGGCTTGGAAAGCTCTGCTCTGACTATCCTACTTCACAGAGACCCAGATCCCTGTTGATTCTTATTTAATTATATGCTACTTAACAACAGGGATATCTTCTTAGAAATGCATTGTTAGGTGATTTCACTGTTGTGTGAACATCACAGAGTATACTTACACAAACCTAGATGGCACAGCCTTCTACACGCCTATGTTATATGGTATAGCCAGTATATTATTTCTAGGCTGCAAACTTGTATAGCATGTTACTGTACTGAACATTGTAGACAACTGTAACACAATGTATGTGTATCTTAATATAGAAAAGGTACAATAAAATATGGTATTATAATCTTATGGGACCACTGTCGTATAAGTGGCACATTGTTGACCAAAATGTCATTATATGGTGCATGACTGTAGTTAATTTTTCCCAGGTTTTTGTTTAGAGCATCAATGCAGGCCTTGACAAAGAAGTCACTGAAAACTTGTTGGTTTGTTGGTCAAGGCAGGCTTATCCTCAGCTCATATTTCCACATGAGGTCAGAGTAATCTGAGCTGCTTGTAGGAAGGCTTTATAACCTCAAAAAGAGGTGCTCTCCACCTCTCAGCTAAGAGTCTGGACCCTGGGGAAACCTAAGCATGGGAGTGTGGATGTGGGTGGGCCTGGCACAGCTGCCTGGCACCCTCAGAAAGCACAGGACCACCACTGCCACAACTAAAAGTCCTAAGGACAGACCAGTTTCTTCAGGTACGGGGTGGGCTGCCCAAGATCCCTCCCATTCCCACTCCCTCTACAGGCAATTTCCAGCCCAGCTGACCAGTAACAGCTCTGCTTACCGTCTTCACAAAAGATAGGCTATCTTCACTATCCAGAGGCACAATTCTAGGAAAGGAAAGAGATAGGAGAGACACATGTTAAAGAGTTTTGAACTGTACAGAAAATTACCATGTTTTCTTTTTTAACTTGGCAATGACATTTCACAGACTCAGATTTCTCTTAGGGATTTTCAAAACACTGGGTTGCATGTATGTAGAATTAGTATGTTGGCCACTACAGTGAATATGTCCACCCCACTCCTGCCCCTTGGCCTTTCAGTGGGAAGCATTCTGGGTGCTGGAACTCTGCTGAGCACAGCCAGGTCAAGCCCAAGCCTGGAGTGATGTCACTGCCAGGTGTAGAACTGTAAGAAGCCATCCATGCCAGCAGCCTCTCCTCTCTTTATGTTCCTAAAACTTGCTCCATGTGAGGATGCAATCATATACTTACCTTCCTTGGTTATTCACAGCATGTATATGAAAAGTCATCTTAGAGCTGTAGACCAAAACCAAAATAAAACAACAATCAGTCTGCTCTTGCTTTCCAGACACTTGCTTGTGCAGCATGCCTGCTCAGGACTTTCAAGGCCACCCAGTGAGGTGTTTGTCATCCTTGCTTTACACAGATCTACCTTAGATATTTTAGATACTTGTCCCAGGGTCCCACACCATCAGCAGGTATGGGGCCAGTGTCTGACTCTAGTCATGGCCCTGCCTCTGTACAAAGTCCTCAGAGCTACCTTGACTCCTAGACCACAGCAGGAGAGAACGACATAACAGGACTGTTGCCCATAGCAGACTGGAAGTAACCCTCCATTGCCTGCTCTGAACCCAAGCACAGGTCATGGTTCTGGTACTCACAGTCAACTTCTGTGGAGCCATGGGCAGGGTCAGACCTTCAGAGCCGAGGAATATCCAGAAAACCCTTTTGGCTTACTTCAAATTGCATAAATTTAATTTTTTGCTTTAACCAGTACTGCTTAGTCACACACTAACTTCCTGTCTGCATTCATGATTCCTTGTTTCCTCCCCTCTTGGGGGAAAAAAGATCTGCTAATTTAATGCAACTTAAAGGTCTTCAGTAAAGTGACCTTTGTGATGGGGAGGGGGTGGGGCTCTAGGTGGAGGACTGGCCCCGGGGACATTCTCCTCCCATTGCCTGGTGTTTTTTCCTTGTGTCTTCCTCCAGCCAGGCCTAGGAGACTTTGAGATTGAGAGGGAGTCTGCCCCGGAGGAGGCTGAGTGGTCTAGGCAAAGGCCAGGGAAAGGAGGAATGGAATGACTATGCCAGCCATGTTGATGGTAACATAGAAGACTTCCCTGTGACAGCAGTTATCATTTAATGCCCAATCACTCTACAAGGCAGGTAGCTGAGGAAGCAGATGCAGAGAGTTCCCTATTTTGCCCAAGGTCATTTAGCTACAAAGTGAAGGAGCTTCAGTTCTGCCAGAAACAGACAGCTCAGGGTAGCACAAGGCCTTAAACCTCCTCTATTCCTTCCCTTTCATGGTCATAGCAACAAGACACGGAAGACCCAGGAGAAAGGAGACCTGAAGCAAGACTAAAGCCTTGCACCACGGGTTCTGGTTCTTTCCTCCATTCCTGGAGCTGCAGCAATAGAATTCTTCTTGTTAGACCAATTGGCTTATTTTTCTTTTTTTTGAGTTGTCCAGGCTGGAGTACAATAGCACACTCATGGCCACCGTAGTCTCGACCTGCTGGGCTCAGGTGATCCTTCCACTTCAGCCTTCCAAGTAGCTGAAACTACAGGCACACACCATGCCCAGCTAATTTTCTGATTTATTGTAGAGATGAGGTCTCGCCAAGTTGCCCAGACTGGTCTCGAACCCACGTGCTCAGGCAATTCTCTCACCTCAGCTTCCCAAAGTGCTGGGATTATAGGCGTGAGCCGCTGTGCCCAGCCGGCTTATTTTTCATAGGCTGCTTCTTATGACCCAGGGTTGTAGATGTAAGAAAATTGGGACCTAGAGCTAGGGGTACCATAGGATGCACCCCAGAAGTATTCTTAAATACATTTCCTGGTACTGGTATCCTGTGTATCTTTTCCATAAAAGTGCATGAAGTGGTCCTCCATGTGGGACAGTGGATTAAATAGACTGCGTTCAGGAATATTTAGCAATGGACAAAGACCCACTGTGATGTGCTCAGAGAAGTGATAGGAGATCACCAGGAAACCAGAATCGCAGACTATCTAGAGCCTGAGACATGGCCAGGATCTAGGTCTCTACCATCTGGGAGACAAACGAGGCCCAGGGCGCGTCTCTTCTAAGCAGTGACTATCCCCATGCCCCGGGCCCTTACTCCTATAAATCTCCCCACTTGGGCTCTCAGCCTCACCTTACGTTGGAACCCAAGCCTGTCAGGTCTCCTCTGATTCTGGTGCTCATCTGCCTCAAATTCTAGCTTCAGAACACGTGTGTGACACTTTCTCATACAGTTCCTCGATTTTGGCTCCTTGCCTTCTCACATAAAGGCTGGATCAAGAATGACTCTTCTTCATACATCCCACTACTTTACGGAAACACTTCTCAAAGGGGAAATGAAACACATATTACAGGGGACAAAAGAGTCTTTTTAAAAACAAACATAAAAAATTTGCTAATAAAAAATATCAGCCATTGCTTACCGCAGGGCTGCCTTAAACTGAATCAACTCAAAGGAATCTAACCCAGATCCCAGGGTCTGCTCTGCTACCTCCTTGGCCTGAAAATCAACAACAAGATGGAGACAGTTAGCTTTCATAGCAGGAAAAAGTACTCACATCACTGATAGGAAGGGCCCTCCTAATGCTTGGCCAGGAGCACACCATGCCCTTCCCCTTTATGTGACTACTTTGCGGCCGTCAGCAGGTGTAAGGGACAGCATTATGTTGAGAGAAACAGATGCTTGCTTTCTCCAGTCTGGCTTCACAGGACAAAACTGCTTTCAGGCAGGTGGGAACTGGAACCTGATCCGCCAGAGAGATGTGACCAGCTGGGATGACGGCCGTGGAATGTGAGGTCTAGAAAAGTACTTTCTCCTCCCCTTTCCCCTGGCTCTAAGAGTTTCGGCCAGAAGCTAAGAATATCTAAATAGCCAGAGTTAACAAAAAATCAACTGAAAAACCAGCGTGTGAGAACTGACACTGAAAGAAACCCCACTGCCTTTCATAAGCCTTCTGCCATATAGCAGCTAAAGGGCTGAGAAATCCTGTGTCAGTACCAGGGACACAAGTCAGTGAGGAAGGGAAATGGCGAGGAGCTGGTAACTACGGCTACAGTCTCTCTGATATCTACATCATACACAACCTTTCCAATGTCAAATGCTTCCTTCAGGAAAGGTCCTATTGGCATTGGGAGGCATCAAGCCGACTCTTCTCCTCTCCTTACTGGGTCAGATATAGGAATCCAACTCAGCAGGGCAGGTTAACCGCAAAACAGCAAGGAAGATAACAGTCAGAGAACGAGAACACAAGTTCTTGTCTAGGAAAGGCAAGTCAGATTTTCTAATCTTTAGCTGTTTTTTTAAACACAGATTTATAGGAAATCAAACTATGTAGAGCTCAAAACAAGCTTACCTAACTTTATTAAAATTCATAGTAGAATACTCTATTTTCCTTTTTTTTTAGCTTTTAAAAACCATTTTAAGGTATTAAACAAAACAATGTGCTACAGAATAATTTTTCGTTAACACAACTAAATATCTACAAAGAAGCGTTGATTAGTTGTCATTCATAAGACAACAGCAGCATGGTCACAGCAGCAGAAGCTCAGTGCTCTAAAGGCATCTCTCTGCTTGGTGCCAAAGAGGCCCAAGCTCACACAAAAGTGAGTACTGCAAAGTGTACAAAGAATAAACAAATGAATAGGATGTTTTACATTAAAATAACAACCACGGAAACAGAAACATGGTATTTAAATTACCTTTGTTAGACTGGAAGTTTTAGCGTAACATGCAATGCCAGCCAAAACAGCCTCAATAACAGCAGCATATACCTGGGACAAGAGCCTACTTTAAAAACAAAAAAATAAAGGTTAACACTACAGCACCAAGGAGTTCTTCAAAAGCTGCATGCACATAAATCACAGTATCTAAGAAACAGATTTTTAAACAGGATGAGAGAAGTGCAAAATGGAACAAAAGTGATTTATAAACCTTTGAAGAGTCAAGCATTTGGCTTGATTTATACCTTTCTCTTGTTAAATCATCTTAAGAAAAGCCAGCTCTTTTGAACTCTGCTCCAAAGACCATCCCTCCCTGTTTGTGACTAAACAGAATAGGACTATGTGCAGGAGCAGCTAGCCACTGACCAGGAAGTCCTTCAGTGTTACAATACAGACTTGCTGCTTTTCCAGGGACCAACTGCACCATACCTTCATGTCATCTCCTCACTAGACCTGCTCAATGCTGGCTGCTACTGGAATCACAGGTGGAAGACCTCAGGTGGCAAGAGAGATTACCTGATTCAAGAGAGGCTGAGTTCTACTTAAATTCAAATTAAACAGCTGCAGACCCCTTTCCAAGCAGCTTGCCTGCTCTAGAGAACAAAGCATGCTTCTGGGTAGATCTCTGACTTTCCCCCAAATCTTGCTCTTTTCCTCTGGCGTCTCACTTCCCAAAGTCATTATAAGAAGGTTTTTCTCTTCGCCAGACTGGGATTGCTATGAGGTCCCTAAAAGATCCAAGTCTGGTTCCCTCGACATTTGAGGCTGGATAATTCCTTGCTTTAGGCTTTGTCCTGTGCGTTGTTGAATGTACAGCAGCATCCCTGATCTCTAACCACTACTTGTTGATAGCATCTCTCAGTTATGACAATCAAAAATGTCTCTAGGCCAGGCATGGTAGCTCACACCTATAATTCCAGCACTTAGGGAGGCCAAGGTGGGATGATAACTGAGGCCAGGAGTTTGAAACAAACCTGGGCAACACTGTAAGACCCTGTTCTCTACAAAATAAATAAAAAAAAAATAAGCCATGCATGGTGAGGTATACCTGTAGTCCTAGCTACTTGGAAGGCTGAAGCAGGAGTATTGCTTCAGACCATGAGTTTGAGGCTGCAGTGAGCTATGATTGCACCACTGCACTCCAGCCTGGGCAACAGAGCAAAATCTGTCCCCCAAAAAAGAAAAAAAAACTCTCAAAATCTTGCCAATGTAAGGTGGGAGAATGGCCCTTGGTTGAGAACCACCGCTTTAGGGGAAGGAGACCCAGGTTTTTCTTAGGACACTTGCAGAGGGAAGGCCTGCAAGGCAAGGGAAGATGCCTGGCAAGGAACTGACAAGGTCTCACCTAAGAATGTGTCTATTTTTAAGCCTGTGAAACTCTTGTAAGAGGTAAAGGAAGGCAGTAGGCGTTTGAGGGCAGGAAAAACAGAAATGATCTGGTCTAATCCTTTCATCTTATAGAAGCAAGTAGGTCCTCTGGGGGTGGAATAAGTTGTCTAAGTCCAAAGAATATTCATGGCAGACTCAAATTCAGATCGCTCTAAACCTGGTACTTTTCCACTGTGCCACAACACAATGTCATCTCCACTTCCTCTTTGGCGGCTGCCCCACACCTCTATATTGCAGGTAAGAGATTTGAGTTGAGTTGAAGAAAAAAAAAGGACAGAGAGTTCACTGAACAAAAACAACAGCTCCAAGGATCAACATATTCTGAAACCTGCTAGTCAGGCTGGGACAGAGGGTACATCCTGGAAGGAAAGGGGCCTGGCAGGGACACTGTCAATGAGACTGGCCCCTTTTGGCTGAGACCAGAATCCTCTACACCTTGACACTAAGGGTGAAGTTTTATGAAGACCAACCCCAAAGACATGTAAAGCTTCCCCAGCTATCTACCCTTCCCCAGCTGATTCAAATATCACTAGTACCAGCACTGGTCAGACCGCCTCCTCACTTGGCCTTTTTCTGTACTAATCCTCAGATAAGAGCTCAATACACAAGCCACCTAGTCACTGACCCATAAAATGGCCTGGATGGCACTGCTGTCACCTTCACCAGGACTTCACAAAGCCCAAGTTCCATGGGATCTGTGAGTTGGTAAATCTTCCAGTGTAGACCCAGGAATCCCTTAATACCAGCCCCTGATGCAGGGAACCAATGGATCTGATTTTGGCAAGTTGTCTAAGGATCCAGAATGAGGATTCAGGGCAGTGGTTAAGCACCACTGGCATGGAAGCACAAGCAGGCACAAGGCAAGACGACACCCATCAACACATGAGAAAACAGTTGACTTGTTGTGAAGGAAACCCACAGAAAAACTATATACACATTATGATTACAGCTGCATAAAACCTTAATGAATAAGTTTTTCAAAAGCCTAGAAAGATATACATTAGGATACTAATGGGTTGTGCCAGAGAGGAATTATAGCTGATCTTTTCTCTATTTCCATATTTTCGGCAGTGTGATTATATTACATGTATTTTATCTTCCCCAATACAGCTTTGTGAGTCTTACCCTAGAAACTCTGATTCTGGGATTGGGCCTGGGGAAGCTATATTTTAAAGAGACCTGAGATAATCCTTTGTGGACTGTCACTCCTGGCCATTGGGAAGCATTGGCCTAGACCCTACCAGTTTATGCTACAGCACTGAATTAGGTAATAATGGATCTCTATTGTACCCATATTTCTGAAACAGGATGCTTTTCGGAATTAAACAGTTTCAGCATGAGTTTATTTCCTGTCTTTGGCTTTCTGCTATATGTGAAGGGAGACAAGTCAATACTAGGTAAGACCTTTCTAAGGTTTACATAGCCTGGGTTTAGATACTAGCTCTGTTCCAAAGGCCTGAATGTCAAGTCCAGAGAAAATATTCCTCAGACCAGATGGGGTTTCACATGGATTCTCCCAGATTTACAGGATGTTTTAGTCTTAGAAAAGCCTTCAATTAAAAAAATGCATTATGTAGAAAACATATTAAGGGGAGTTACATTATATAAATTATATGTACATATATAAATTATATAAATGGGTGTGCAGGTAGGAAGTCTCTGAATTCTGGAGGAAGGAGCAGATGGCAAAGCTGGCAGGGTCCTCTAGCCTGAATTCCAAGCTGAGAGAAACTTGGGAAACTACACTGCAGTGTTTGCGTCATAAACCAGATGTCTTATCACTGCTGATCTCAAAAGGGAATAGACATGACAGGCACAAATGAGTAACTCAACTTTGTATAAGAAAAAAAACCTGAAGGCTTACATTTGTTCAGTTTTCTTGGGCAGTTTGCTGTCATCGCCTGTGAAAGAACACCATGTAAGAATGTGACAAGAGCACAGGATATGCAAGCACCTTCACTTTACAAGGAAGTTTGAAATACTTAATTTACGTCAAAGGTGTCCTCAAGAACTACATTTCTTTTAAGTTAAATACGGTACAAGTACCACCAACGGTGGGACCTGGTTTCTCCCAGCATCCTCCGAGACCCTTACCCCTGACATTTCTCACTTTTACAATGCACTCAGCATCAGCACCAAACACCAAGAAGACATACGGAATCTTAGACTCTGGAACGTCTTTCCTTTTTTTTTTAAACATTGGGCAATAATACACAGGCTCAGTTCTACCTCTTTACCTCCTTAACTACCTGACTCAAGTCATGCTTCTTTCCAGAGTTTCCTGGATTATTTAACAAGACTCAGGAGAAACCCTGGCTTCTGATGTTCTCTCCTTGGTGTAGCAGCACTGAGACCTGTATTCATTCTAGAGGCTCTTCTCTGTGTCTCTTTGGATGCCTGCGGCTTCAAGCAGACCAGTCAGCTCAGCCTTTCTGGATGGCCCCACAGCATGTTCCTAGCACCTGGGCACCCTTCTATCATGGCCTGTTCTCACTTTCCTCACACACACAGTTGGGTGGGCACCTGGCTGAAACATTCAAACTCCCACTACAGAACACACCTCCTGTTATCTCAAACTAGGTGTTATTCATCTTTGCCTTCCCTCCAACACTGGGCACAGGATCTTACACATGGTTAGACTTAATATTCGTTGAACCAATAGTTTTCCTCTTGAAATACATTCTGTGAGAAATGTGTTACGACACTTAAACTCTCCAGCTGGAATCAGAAAGGGAGCAGGAGGCCCACAGATTGGATTTCACCAGCTTCTGAGCAAACCATTCATTAGACAAATTGATGAGAAGATGACTTCAGAGACTTACCCAAGTAAGGAACATGAGTAGCTCCAAAAAAGAATGTTCTCGAGCAAGCAAGTGGTCCCTTTGGCGACACACACTGTGCTACCTGAACGTCAGAAAAAAATAAAAATAAAAAGGAGCAGGAACTTAGGTGGGTATTACTAGAACAAAAAGTATACAGTTAATAGAAATAAATTTTACTTTACCAAAACTGATTTTTTTTTTTTGAGTAGGAGTCTCACTTTTTTGCCCAGGCTGGAGTGCAGTGGTACACTCACTGCCACTACAGTCTCAACCTGCTGGGCTCAGGCAATCCTCCCGCTTCAGCTTTCCAAGTAGCTGGAACCAGAGGCGTGCACCACCATGCCCAGCTAATTTTTAAATTTTATTGTATAGACGAGGTCATGTTGCCCAGACTGGTCTCAAACCAGTGCTAAAGCAATCCTTTTGCCTCTACCTCCCAAAGTGCTGGGATTATGGGTGTGAACCACCGCACCCAGCCTGATTTATTATTTTTTAAAGACATAGGATAGGGGAGGCCAGGCTCAGTGTCTCACGCCTGTAATCACAGCACTTTGGGAGGAGGAGGTGAGAGGATTGCCTGAGCCTGCAGGTTCGAGACCAGTCTGAGTAACATGGCAAGACCTCGTCTCTACAATAAATAAAAAAATTAGCTGGGTATGGTGGCACACACCTGTGGTCTCAGCTACTTGGAAGGCTGTGGTTGAAGGATTGCCTCAGCTCAGCAGGTTGAGGCTGCGGGGGCTGTGAGCAGTGTGCCACTGCCCTCCAGCCTGGGCGACAAAGTGAGACTCTGATTAAATAAATAAATAAATAAATAAAGACATGGAGAAAAGAGCACCTTTAATTCTTTTTTCCAAAGGTATCTTTCACACGTTGTGTACATATGCATGTGTGTTTTTGTGTGAGCACATACATGTGTGTGTATTTTAAACCTTGGCTATATCACACGATTGCCATTGGGTCCTCAGTCAGCCCAGGTTGCTAATTAATTCACTACTCAGAAGGAAAAAAGAGGCTATGTGTTTGGGTTTTGACTGCAGTAGTATCCAGTCCAGAGCTTTCAGTGACGACCCTGGCTGACAAGACAGGCAGTGGTGTGGAGTAGCTACAAACTCAGAAAGGAGGTGCTACCCAGTCCCCACCTTTATTTGTATTTCATCTCTGTACAGAGTTCTGCAGAAGAGAAAATAAGTTCCTCTAGGTTTTTCAACTGTTATTCTTCTTTTCTGTTAAGATGTGTATTGCAACAGATGGATGTCCTTTTTTTTTTTTATTGAAAAGTAATACATTTTTACATGTGGTAAAAAAAAAAAAACAAAACATGTAAACATTTCAAATTCCCACAGGATTCTAAATCTGTACTCACAGTGGGAGCCCTCAGCCTGGACCATCGAGAGCTGCTCAGGGGGTACCTGATGAGAACCGAGTCAGGGCTATCTCTGAACCTTGTCTCTGGCCCTGACCCCTCCCACCATGGCATGCTTCTCCCACCCCAGGCATACGTTGTTCTGAGCAAAGCAGAGTGAATATCATTCTGACGGTAGAAGCAAGAAGCCACACTCAGCAACGTGCTCTGGAGGAATTTTCCATAAAGGACAGTCATTGCATGGGGACAGAGAATATATCCAAGCATCCCCAAATGTCTTTCCGCAATCTGCATTTAAATGCTGATCATTTTTTGGTTTTGTTTTCTTGTAGGCTTCAATTCTAAACAACTTATTATGGCCTTGTTCACTTTCTTATTTCTTATGTTCTAGTGGGTTTGTGATTAGACACAGCTTCCAACACAATGCCTCATAACGTCTATACATCATACTTGTATAAGCCGTTTGCTGTTTTCACAGCTTCTTTGGGTTAATGCAACTGTCCCTACTAATGCTTCAGGCAAGACCGTGGGAAACCATTATCTGGGTGAGGAAACCAAGCCCCTAGTGAGAATTCATGATTTGCCAAGGCCAGGCAAGTAAGAGGTATTTCTTAATAAATGTTTGTTGAATGAATTTCTACTAGAGTTTATGAAATGACATTCACTGATTCTTTTCTTCTGAGTATAAAAGTAACATATGCTCATCACCAAGATTGTAAAATATCAGAAATATACAAAGAAAAAAATTAAAGTCACTTGCCAGTCCAACCACACAAAAAAATTTGTTTATATTTTCTTCCAGTTCTTTTTCAAGACTTCTGTACATGTTAAGGTCACAATGAAAATACCACTTTGTATTTTGCACATTTTCATTGAAATTGTATCAAGATAATTTTTATGAGTTGCTAGATATTTTTGAAGTCAACATTTAATGACCTCCTTAATAATAGTCATCAGAGAGGTAAACCATAATTCATTGATTCATTTTCCTACTGTTATACATTTAAGTTGCCTCTATTTTTTTTTATCGATATTTTTTATTTTGATATTGTGGGGTACAGTTAAGGGTTAGGTATACAAATATGCTTCATTCAGGACCCCTTGTTGATAACAGATGTCTCCCCGTCTCCAGACAGATGTTTACTACCATTAGTCCCAGGATGTCCTTTTTTCTTTTGAAAATCCAACATCTCATGAGGGTTCCTGAGACAATTAGGTACAAAATGCAAAAATGCCACCACAAGAACTAGAGGAACAGAAATGAGAACAATATATAAAAAATATCCGGCCGGGCTTGGTGGCTCAGCCTGTAATCCCACGCTTTGGGAGGTGAGTAGATTGCCTGAGCCCACGGGTTCGAGACCCGCCTGGGCAACTTGGCAAGACCTCATCTCTACAATAAATCAAAAAATTAGCTGGGCATGATAGCGCGCCCGTAGTTCCAGCTACTTGGAAGGTTGAGCAGAAGGATCGCTGGAGCCCAACAGGTCAAGGCTGCGGTGGCTGGGAGCGTGCCACTGCACTCCAGTCTGGGAGACAGAGTGAGACTTCAACTCAAATATATATATATATATATATATTAGGTACAAAATGCAAAAATGCCACCATAAGAACTAGAGGAACAGAAATGTACATATAGTGCCCGGGCTCGGTGGCTCAGCCTGTAATTCCAGCACTTTGGGAGGCCAAGGTGAGTGGATTGCCTGATCCCACGGGTTCAACACCAGCCCGGGCAACTTGGCAAGACCTCATGTCTACAATAAAATAAAATAAAAAATAGCCAGGCATGGTAGCACGCATCTGTAGTTCCAGCTACTTGGAAGGCTGAGGTGGAAGGATCGCTGGAGTACAGAATGTTGATGCTGGGGAGCCATGAGCGTGTGTGCCACTGCACTCCAGCCTGGGCAAAGGAGTGAGACTCTAACTCAAAAAAAGTAAAATAAAAAGCTAAATATGACACAACTATCCCTCCCTTCTATTTTACTCCACTGTTTAAGAAAGCTATACTACATGGCATTTTTTAGTATTATGAATCCAAGTTACAGATTTGAAGTGAGAACTGTGACTAACCTATAATTCACTGTAGTGAAAGTGATCAATCTTGCCATGACACAACAAAAACTTATGATTTTTTGTTTGTTTGTGGTTGTGTTTCTCCATTTACTGCTATTTGTATACTGAAAACTAAAATTGAGAAAACTTTAAATATTTGCTTAATGAATGTATTTCTAAAAGTTGGTTAATATGTATATTTCCTCAATTAAGATATGTTTCTTGGATTTCCAAATTTCCCTTACTAAAGGTTGTTTTATTTTATTACTATCATTTTTTTTTTTTTAGTTGAAATCTCACTCTGTCACCCAGCCTGGAGTGCAGCGGCATGCTCATGGCCACTGCAGCCTCGACCTGCTGTGCTCAGGCAATCCTTCTGTCTCAGCCTTCCAAGTAGCTGGAACTACAGGAGTGTGCCACCACGCCCAGCCAATTGTTTGATTTACGGTAGAGATGCGGTCTCAACAAGTTGCCCAGGTTGGTCTTGAACCCCTGAGCTCAGGCAATTCTCTCGCCTCCACCTCCCAAAGAGCTGGGATTACAAGCGTGAGCCACCGTTCCTGGCTACTAAAGGTTTTTTTAAGGTGCCAATTGTTTCAAACCACTTCCTTAGGTCATGTCATACATTTGAGTAGGCACATACTAATTCAAATTTACTGACTTTTACCTAAAAAAAATAAACTGGTACAGTAGAATTTACACATGTAATGTAAAACTGTTAAAAAATAATCTGGGTTTGCATGTTTTACATAATACTTTTACATTTGTGAATCATTCACAAATGGCACAGAAATGGAAGAGGGTGACTATGTTACTTTGGAATACAGCTAAAGAGACAAGGTCAAACCTAGGGCCCCTCAACCTCAGGACCAGATTTCAGGGAAGTGCCTTGGCTTCACTGGGTTCCATGTTTATAAAAGAAAGATACGGGCCAGGCACTGTGGCTCACGCCTATAATCCCAGCACTTTGGGAAGCCAAGGTGAGAGGTTTACCTGAGCCCACAGGTTCGAGACCAGTCTGGGCAACTTGGCGAGACCTCATCTCCACAATAAATCAAAAATTAGCCAGGTGTGGTGGCACAGGCCTACAGTTCCAGTTGGAAGGCTGAGGCGGAATAATCACCTGAGCCCAGCAGGTTGAGGCTGTGGTGGCCATGAGCATGCCACAGCACTCCAGCGTGGGCGACAGAGTGAGACTCCAACTCATAAAAAGAAAGATATGACAATGCTTGCCAGTTTATTACAAAAAGCTGTATAAAGAACCTAATTTTTAAAAAAATAATAAGCTTTTTTTTTTAAGAGAAATTTTAGGTTTATAGAAAACTGAACTGAAAGTACAGAGTTCCCACATACTTCCTTCTCATTCCTCCAGGTTTCTCCTATTATTTACATCTTGTATTAGGATGCTACATTTGTTACAATGGACAAATACATTATTACTAACTAAAGTCTACAGTTCACATTAGGGTTCATGCCATGCTGTACATCTGTGGGTTTTCACAAATGTGTAATGACATACGTCCATCATGACTGTACCACACAGGAGAGTTCCACTGCTCTAAACATCCTCTGTACCCCACTTGATCTCCTTGCCCTCCTTCTTCCAAACCCCTGGCAACTAGTAATCTTTTAACCAGCTCCAGGGTTGGTTTCCAGTTGGAGTG